AATAAAATTTCGAGTAATAAAATTTAAGTAGTGACTATAAAAAGTATTCTAAAATATGTGAAGCTAAGAAATTAAAATTTATATTTTTTGTGGAATAATTAAAAATAATAAAAAATCAATAAAATTTAATTAATTGAAATTATTTTTAAATTTTTTTATCGTATTTCCTTCATCAGCAATATATTTCTAAATAAAAATTGACTTTGTTGCCATATTTCATGCTTAGGTATCAAAAGCATGTAAAATATGAATAGGTTTGAATTCCTGTTCAGGTTATAATGTAGGCGTATTTAAAATTAATAAGTTCATATATGAATAATTCATATTCACATATGGATAAATTCATATTCACATATGAATAAATTCATATTTACGTTGTAATACTACTAATGTATGTAGTTATATTTATTGAATTATCACTTAAATAATAGTAGATCTAACCTCCTAACTGCGAGTAACTCTAATTCACCTTCCATGTTCTGTGGAAATACAATGGCTGCATAATTTTTAACCACGTGCTTTTTTTGAATGATTTTGGGGGGAAATTAACAATAACATATGGTCTTATAACATGTGATAAAATTTCATCATGATACCTTAGAGCATGGCATAAAAATCATTTATTCGGTTAAATTTACTTTCCACTTTAATATTTTTTACTAAATGTGTAGTAATAAGAACTATGATTTTGAAAACCAGAATTTCCTGTGAACCGTTATCATACGAACGAAAAAATTATTAAATTGATGGTTTAAGTACCGTATATTTTGGTTTTGTTAGCCAGAGTTACGTTTTTTTTTTCAAAAAATTTTTTTTACCATTTTAATTTCGTTACCTTACAGTACGGTAATTTTACCAGTATCGCAATTTTCTCCATGCATATTTCCAGAAAAAACTTTTCTTCAAACTTTTTCATCTATCTCTTCGTAACTAGAAAAAAAATCTACAGCTTCACTCAACGCAAATAAAAAATTTTGTCAATTAGCAGAGTGAACCATTAGTATATTTTGGACAAATTTTAACAAACGCAAAAGGCATATCCTGTTTTATTTTCATTAAAAGCATGTTTCTTCATAGTACAAGTAATCACGTGGAAAAATTCGAATTTCAAAATAAAAGAATTTCGCTTCTCAATCGAGCAAAGAAAATATATGATAATCCAATGTAAATTACAGAATTTGCGTATTTCTTATAACGAAGAAGATATGAGATAAATTTAAAAAAAAAACATATTTTGCGTAATAGCCTCAGTAAAACACTTGTATTAAATGTATTCAATTTAGAACAGTGTTTTTCTTCCGGTACCCTATTTCCAATAATTGTAATAAAACTACAATAATGACGACTCATTAGTGAATGAACTTAAGAATAAAACTTTACTCTAATTTTATAAAAGTATCTTACTTCAAGGATAAAATAAAATGAATTCTTCTCTAAGATATAACTTTGAGATCGTAATTGGTACTTAAATCTTGATTGGTGATTTTTCTAAAATTACTTTTTGTGAATGGTTAATAAAATGGTTACTAAATGTTTCTATTTCTGTAATGATGTTACCGGAAAAAGTCATTAAGTAATATATTTTCCGTCAAAACAGTGTTTATAAAAATTTATTTTAAAGGAAATGCTACGCAAGGCAGTAAAGTCGAATGAACATATACTTTTCATTTAGCGATAATGTTTCCCTTTTATAGAGAAACCAAGGGGCACTTTTTCAAGTCATTTCATTATTATAATTACATGCATATTTTCAATCGTTTATAATCTTCTTACCATATAACGAGTTTTTAAAAAAAATTCTCATAAAAAATATTGCCCCGCAGTGGACTGATCGTTAAGACACGGCTCTCAGCAGACCACCGAAGTCAAGCATCACTGGCTGCGGTCAGTGTGCGGGTGGGTGAAAATTTGGATCAGTCTGCGTAGGGACCGAGGGTGTGCGGTATTGGTCATCGCTCAACTGCTCTACCACAAAAGTGCTCGAATTCGCTTGCAGGTTGTCGGGCTACCGAAGCGGGGGTGCCATCCCTTCTGCAGAGGATCAAAATTGTGATGGCATGTCTTCGGATTATCCTCAGGGATGTTTCCCAGACACCGTCGCCAATAGCTCATTGTGCGGCTCTAGTGCGACATAAAGGAACTACAACAACAACATAAAAATATTAAATTTAAATATAAAATTTATGTTTTAAATTTTTGATATAACTAAGAATACAAAACACAATTTTCGGTACTTTAAAGTTAGGCACTTTTTAGCTTGGTTGTGTTCAGAAATTCCTTATATTGACCACTCAAGTGGGTTCTCTCTGACCGGATATGGCCTCGCCGTTCCGTCAAACTCTCTGTAGCATGGAGGTAGTGGGTTCAAATTTTACTGTAATCTTGTGTGTACCAGTGTATTGTCTTTCTCTAACTGAGGCCGGTACAGCCTGACTGATAGGGTGTTCAGGCCATGTCCAAGAGGTCATGAGTTTGATCCCAGTTGGTCGAAGGCCCCTGTGTACAAAATGGTGACTAAATACTCCAAGTTCCACTAACAAATCAATACTTCTAGGGGTCTGATCGAAGGTTGAATGTGCTCTGATTTAGATCAAAATTACAATCTGCTGTTGGATGAAGGGCGTGTGAATGAGTCCACCCTGTAAAACGGGATATGACGTNTCGACTTCGCGACAGATCGTCGGGCTACCGAAGCGGGGGTGCCATCCCCTCTTTAGAGAATCAAAATTGTGATGGCATGTCTTCGGATCATCCTCAGGGATGTTTCCCAGACACCGTCGCCAATAGCCCATTGTACGGCTCAAATGTGGCGTAAATGAACTACAACAACAACATAAAAAATATTAAATTTAAATATAAAAATTATATTTTAAATTGTTGATATAACTGAGAATACAAAACTCAATTTTCGGTACTTTAAAGTTAGGTACTTTTGAACCTGATTGAGTTCAGCAATTCTTTGTATTGACCACTCAACTGGGTTCCCGCTGGCCAGTTGGCCATGCCATTCCGCCAAACTCTCTGTAGCATGGAGGTAGAGGGTTCAAATTTATCTGTAATCTTGTGTGTATCATTGCATTGTCTTAATAAACTGAGGCCGGTCCGGCCTGGCTCATAGGGTGTTGTGGCCATCTCCGAGAGGTCATGAGTTTGATCCCAGCTGGTCGAAGGCCCCTGTGTACAAAATGGTGACTAAATACTCCAAGTTCCACTAACAAATCAATACTTCTAGGGGTCTGATCGGAGGTTGATTGTGCTCTGATTTAGATCAAAATTACAATCTGCTGTTGGATGAAGGGCGTGTGAATGAGTCCACCCTGTAAAACGGGATATGACGTATTAATGTTGTCTCCGGATCATCCTCAGGGCTGTTTCCCAGACCATCGCTAATAGCCCATTGTGCAGCTCGAAATAAAAAGTAAAAGTACTTTCTCTTACTTGTGCTATCTATTCTACTTCACCAGGGCTTATAAGTCTTGTTTTATAAAGAAAATGCTTGACTACATTGTACATGTATAAAAATAAACGAAGGGCCTCCCTGGTCAAGCGGTTATGCCCACCGCTGATACCCTGGATGTATCTTCATGCTGTCCTCTGTGCTATCTGTCTTTCTACTTGACAAAGGTTTGTAAGCCTTAATTGAGCACACAAGCCTGCAAATGTGTTTAATTCCAAAAAATAATAATAAATAAACGGTTGAGTGCTTTAGAACTTTTTCGGAACCACGTTGCTGTTTTTGAATATATTTGATTATTCAGTTTTCATCCTCGTAACTTGCAGTTTTTTCTTTTAATTCTGGAAATATTTTTGAACTTTCAGTGTAGTCAGTGAATTTAAAAAGTTTAGAACTGTTCCTATAAGCTCTTGCCTCAGCTCCTGTAATAATTATCGTTCCGTTAAATTTACATAGAAGAGATACAGTAGAGATCAACTACCTTGCACGAAATTATTTCTAACGTATTTATTTACACCCAAGTTTCTAGAATGAAGTAAAAGTTAAGTAATTATGCATTTTTATAAAATAGAGTAGTATTTTTGCAAATGAAATAGTTTTTTTTACAAGTGGTTTATACTTTGTATAAGTCAAAAAAAATATTGTTTCGTAAAAAAATCATCATTTTTAATCTCTCTAACTAATTAATCAAACTCTTACAAACTTTTGAAACATTCGTATTCTATGCAACTTAAACGCGCCATACATTTGAAAAACATTTCAACTGTAATAATAATAATAATAAAATTCGACTGCGATAACAAGCTGTTTTATTAAAAGAACCGAGTATTTAATTTTCTTTGAAAATATTCTTTCCTTAAGTTTAATTTTTTTGGAATGAAAATTTCCTTCGTAGAGAACGTTTTCTTAAGCTTAAATATTTCAAATATTAGATTATATTTCCGCCAAATTATCATCTTCTTTCTAGTTTACATACAAAAATCAATACTTTTAGCAATAGTATCAGAAAAATTATTTTATATTTGCTACTAAATTAAAGTTCAAAAATCATAATCTCATTTATTTCAAAAAAAATTGTTTAAAATAAAATATAACCGCTAATGGAGTAATATTATGAATAAAGTGTTTCGATATTTAACAATATTAGGAATGATATTCTTTTATCTTGTTTTGTAAACAAAAATATCTTTCAACTAGTAACCATACATGAAGTAATATTCTAAATAAAGTGATTAGATATTTAACAATATTAAAATGATATGCTTTTATCTCGTTTTCTAAACAAAAATATCCTTCAACTAGTAACCCTATCTCACACATCAAGAAAGACCCAGAAAACTTACGTTAATGAAACATTAAAAACAATGTCAAGATTATTGACACAATTTTATCACTTCATTGTCTTATACAATAAAAATCAAAGTTTAGAATTTTAAAGTGTCTAATCAAATTTATCACCCAAAACTCAACATTTGTAACAGATATGTTGATCACTGATAGTTTACGTCAGCAAATTTGATATTTATCTTACATTATAAACCTTAATCTTACAATTATAACTTATCTGACTTATATTTATCTTACATTATATACCTTAAGGCTGTTGGGATCTCAGCTGAAAGAAAATCAGATCCCTCAAAATGAAACTTTCAACAGTTCTCCTGTTGTCTTGCATATTTGCAGTGTCTACGGCTTATGTAGATTACAGTGGGTAAGACAATTCGGTTTGAATTAAGCATTGTTCTAACTATTGTTAATTACAGCCTCATTGTTTGTGTGAAGGAGTGTTTTCTCCTCACGGCGGTTTTATAACTTTAGCGAATTTCAAGAATTTTCAAAAGTAGGAAACTTTAATGACTCTTTAGATTTATCCATCCGAATAACATTTAAATTATAAATATCTTTTGATTATAAAGTTAATTGAATTGAGAATGAGGCTAAAATATTCGTCGCATATCTGTGTTATTTATATTTTCTTCTAAGTTAATATATTTTTACGTTATTTTACCTAAGTGATGTCATAAAGAATATTTGTTAAAAAATTACTTTCTTAATGCAAGTGATGTATTAAATAATTACAGTTTCAATACATGAAATAAATGAAATATTATTTTAAAATTTTTGTTAATTAATAAAATTTTCCATTATGTTAAATTAATAACTTGGTCTATTACTTTTAGTTATTTTGGAAATATTTATTATTATTAATAAATTTCTAAAGGCTGTTAGGATTGTTGCTCAAGAAAGAACCCATCTAAGTGATATGTTTTAGCGCTTGTTATGATTTTTGTATACTATTTGCAGCGTTTGACAGCTATTGTAGCTGGTGAGGCAATTTGGTTTGAAATTAATTGTTATTACTATTGCTAATTACAGCGGCTTCCTTAATCTTCTGAGAACCGAGCTGTAAATGAAGGTAGAAAATTCAGTTCTTACTTAAACTTATAAATGCGATTATTAATATATAAAGTTCAAATATATAAAGGGAAAACATGGAAAAATTACAGAATAATGAAAAGAGAAAAATAAAATTAAACAAATGGCGCAATAATAAAAAAATTAATTCAATAAAAATCCGGGGAAAAAAAGAAATAATATCTTCATCAGCTCGCACGATTATATCCTCAAAAAGGAGTGCTTTCTAATATTGTATCAATGTAGCTAAATCAAAATATATCAATACAATAGTGTGAGGAGCACTCAAAAATATATTTTTGGAACAAAATAGGACACATTAAGTAACAAATATCACATAAAAAACAGAAAATAAAATGTTGAAAAAAAAATTATAACTAAATCCATGAGGCGAGTTGCGAATTCAAACAAACTTACGTGTACAGAAAAATTTTCAAAGCTGATTTAAAATATTTTCGTAATAAGATTGCCAGATTACAAAATATGAAAACGACTTACAAAATTTTAACTATTGTAATATGTTTAAAAATTAATGTTTTGAGCTTGTGTTGTACTAAAAAAAGAGTATATTTTTTTATAAAATAAAAATTGCGCATTTAAATTTTTTTAATAATTAATATTATATCGATTATATCGAATTAATGATAACTTTAGCAATTATTTTCCTCATCTTCCCGAAATGCGAATAGGTCAATTAAATAGTACCGATTTTTTAAAAAAAAGGTTCAATAAATTCGCAAGTAATAATTTTGAAGCACTATACGTGTTTATCAGTTTGTCAATTTCACAAGAAACTAATTATAGAACATTATTCCAGTTGTCTACTAACATATAAAATTTCAAATTTTGTATTTAATTGTTAAATTTTAACTTTTTTTTCTTCTTTATTTTAGGCATAAAGTATTAACAGTAACTCCCAAATCGGAGAAACACTTGGAATTGTTACACGAGTTGCGGGAAAAATATTCCGTAAGTATTTTATTTAGTTTTAAAACATTTTTCGAACGTTTACATAAAATATTGTTAATAAAGGTCTATAAGGGAATAAAACATTTAAAAAATGTCGTCACAAAATATTGTTACTAAGTCTATGAGGAAATAATTGTAAATATTGTTGGAGGGTAAAAATTAGCATACATATCTTAAAATCTCGGAATTTATACAAATTTTAAATAAAGATCAGTTAGCATGCTTTTTAACCCATTGCAATTGTTTAACTATGTTTTGTTTTTTCAAAAGAGATTTTCCAGCAGCTACACAATCTTTTAAACCATATAGTCACGAAGTCGACGTTGTACAGTAGTTACTGACACAGTTACTCGTAGCATTAGATTCGATTAACTCGTTACTTACAGCCTCGTAGCATTAAATTCCTAATTTCTGTTAGAGTCTACTGCCGCTTACCTTGAATGCTGATATACTTATCCTCATGTTTGGACGTTTTTCTAGGTCTCCCTAATAGTTGGCGACTCTTCTTTTGGCCAGTTTCTTTTTTCCAAAAAAATGGAGTTTTAGAGGCACTTTGTCTACTTGAATAACCTTCACCATGAGGTGCCATAATAATTGCACGTGTTTCGACACTTATTTCTTGTTTTTGATACATATTTATGTAATAAATTGTATAAAATAATGTTAACTTTTGTTTTATAGTTTATAAAGTTTATATCAGTTTATGTTAAATAGTTTATAAAGTAAAAATTGTAAAAATTAAGGGCATTTTTTAAATAAATTACTCTTTTTTAAAAATATGTATTTGCATGCACTTTCGCCCATTTCGTAATCAACTACAGAATAGATACAAAATTAAAAAATAATTAACAGTTTTAAATGGAAACAGCGTTTTAAGAAGTTTGCTGATGTTTATGTTTGACAAATTATATTAATAATACTTTTGGCGATACTATAAATATATATATATAT